CATCTCATGTTTGTGTTATTTTAGAGCATCTTTACATCTGCATGAACTAGTACATTGTCGCTGGGTGGAAGAGGTGACACAGGTAAAGTATGCAACAGTATATCTCTTTCTTTTTCTTTTTTGCTAATRATGTGATGATATATGATAATTATATTATTACCTGTTGCACCAGAGTCCTTACGAATCTACTTAGTGCGCTTTCCATTTGTCAGAACTGGCTGACCAGACCCAGAGAAAATGTCATTATATATCATTTCCATTTAGTTAGGGAATTCAAATTTTCAAATTCTATCCATTATTCTACAGAAAWCCTCGAAATGACTGAAAAATCTTGACAAAAATTATTATTTACCTCTAAATAGAGTGGACTGGCCGGCCAGTTCTGCATAAATGGAAAGCACCCTTAGTGTAGCGACTTGATTTGATGRAGACAGGGAGATTGGTATCCCAGAATACATTGCAAACCGATTGGAATAAGGACTATGGCGTAATCAGTATGAAACGATCGCTACGAACGTGTTATCATGTATGCCCAGTTTTTGACCACAGACAACAACTTACAAAAAAGTTTAAAAATGCAGGTGAAAGCATAGGTTGGACGTTGTGAAGCATTCATTTTTTTGACGAATGCCACACCCGCTGTTTAACATGCGTTCTTAAAAAAAGGTGTTTTAATAACAGCACAGAAAGTAGTCTTCTGATAATGTGTTGCGCTCATTCTGTTTACGAGAGAAAGTCCTTTTTTACTGACCTAATACAGGAAGTCTGTGATTTTGGCAAGAAAGAGACGTGCGCGGAGGAGATTAATACCCCCTGGTCAGAATCACAAGATGTTCGCTTTACTGAGCAATGGCACAATAAATTTTGCACGTGGTTATTGCAGTTCCTTAGTTGACGCGGAGAAGCTGACAATAGAAGCTACCAATCTCAAGTCCTTCACGGCTCAGAACAGAGTTTCGCGCTCTCGTCAACCAATCTTTTCAACCAATCACGCGAGAAAAAAAGCACTTTATTACCCATGATAACACAAACTGCCTTAACGCAGGCTTCTAGAGTCTCTCATGCATTAACTTCCGGCAAAAGTTCGGACTCTATGTACAAGCTTGAGAAGCAAGTGGATTACGGATCATGCACGCGCACTTTTCTTAGTCGAAGCTGGACGGATTTTATAGAAAAAACCCCGATCACCCAACATGTGTAGTGAATTTAAAATAAAAACAAGGTACAGTGAGTACGAGTGAAACATGCAGTTGAAAACACTCAACTAATCGTTATCTAATTCTTTTCTTTTCACTTCTATAAACGTAGGACTTAAGTATCTACATAAACGTTTCCACACTGTGGCTAATATAGGAATAATAGCTGCAATGCGATTGGTAAAATTTAACTGAGCTCTTGAAAACAACCGTGGTGTCTCCGTTTTTGACAGTAATGTGAGTGAACACTGCTTGCATTATGAATGCGATTATAGCCTGTTTCCTGAGATTTTTTCCCGATAAGAGAAAGAGAAAGGCATTAGAGCAAAGATCTTTATGACTAATGAGGTGTTGTTTATGAGTAAAAGTGTCCAMGCATTCACTGTTCAGTTCCTGTTCAGTAATGCCTTTTAGAATGTGCGCATGCGTTGTATATTTTTATTTGTTCAATAAAGGATCCCCCCCCCCCCCCACACACACACACACACACACACAAAAAAAGGTAGAGTTTCCCCTCTATTTCTATGTTTTTCTTTGCGCACCAAGCAAAAAACTACATATCGACAAAATTCTGTATTTAAAAACGAGCTTTTCAGTTTACTTTAAGTAACAAAATAAGAGATGCCATGCGCGCGAAGGACTGTCAAAAATTGAGTCGAGGACGTTTACATACCGTCAGGAGACTACGCCGATCGTGGGTTGTCATTTCCTTAGTGATTGTGCAAAATCGTATGACGTATATTTATCTTCGTAGGCCTTGATGACGCTATCAGAAGGCTATCAAACACGTTTTTGGCCCATCTCAAGATCAATATTTGACGACGACTAAGGCTATTTTATGAAATATTTTAGCATTCATCGTGCATTCTGATTGGCTACTCTATCAAAGGTCTAATACTCCAATTTCGAGTTCTGGTTTGCTCTGTGTTAGCCTCAAAACCAAGTAACATATTCTTTTGTTTTATTGATAGCCCGAGAAAATGCATGGAATTCGAAAAGAAAAGAGAATGGAATTTATTTGAAATCTCACACTTTTATTCTCACAATTAGGAATATTTTGTGCACGAATGAGGCTAACACAGAGCATTGGAGAATTCGAAACTGGAATATTTCGAGTAATTCTTTAGAAGAGCAGAAAAAAGACGGTGATGCTTTTACTGGTCTTTTTTCTCTCCTTCTATCGATAAACCTCTAGTGGTGGTCTACAGGACATTTAAAAGTGGCCGCTGAGTTCTGATTGGTTGAAAACTATATAATATGCATATAATTTTGCATGATTTTTATCATGATGTTTTAGAATAATAGCGTCAATTATTTATACAATTAAAACTGATTAATATGTTGTGTGTTTTTTTTTCAGCAATTAGATTCTCTTCAACTTGCTGCACCTACCAAGGGTCGAGATGACACTGAAAAAGACAGGTAGGGAATGATTTTCAATACCAGGATATATTATCAATATTGGTTGATAACTGGAATTCTAACATCTTCACTGGCTGATCGCTATCTTATTCTATTGAAGCGTTTAATTGTTCAGACATGGAGTTCAATTAACGTTTTTAATTATCCTACATCAATATTTTCCTATCAAAATTTGTGATCATTGAAGATTTTCTTCAGTAGCTTGTGATTTTAGTCGGTTAATGAGTACTTTCTATCAGAGCTTCTGGTTGGCCGGTYATTTGAAATTTCTATTCAAGCATTTTGATTGGTCGATTAGTTTTGCCGGAACTCGGTATATAAATATGCAAAGACAGCAGAACAGCTGCGCACTTTAATAGAAACTCCCTCCAACTGGGTGATAGTCATTGACTTGCATCACTACACGCTTAATTTATGCAGCCATACCTACGCAGGTGTATAAACTTCGATATCAGACGCTCACTATATAATCCTTGATTCTTGGCAAAAACATYAGCAGAGAATGCAAACCGATTCAGACCAAGAACTCTTCGATGTGGAGATGTGTCAACTTTTAAAAATCAAACGTAAGGAATTTCRCGTCCCTCGATGTAARCTTCTCTTTAGTTGAAGTCAAGCAGTTTGCATCTATTTTCAGTGGGATTTTTGAGACAGTCGATCATCATTTGGTCTTGGAAAGTTAAACAGAAACAGTCTTCGAAAAAAGATAGGTAGTGCAAATATTCGTATGCGCTGTTTGCTATTCGTTTTACCTGCGGTTGAAACTGATTCTCATGTTTTCGAGTTTTTGCGTGTATTGACAATTTGCGCTATTGTTTTAACATCAATTTTTTATTCAAGACTGCACTGCAATTAACATCTAGAAAATATCTATACAGAATGTGAAGGTTATCTTTAAATGCRGCCGTCTGATGCGGTTTCCTAAATTGCGTCTTTGCTCTTCCTTTGTACTTTCCCAGCTTCCCTCTTGTAAATGCACGCATATGTATTGAACTTATATCTTCAATTGGGTTCATATTTTAGACACTTCTTTATCTGTGTTAAATTGCCGAATTTACGGCGGATCAAATAGATTGCACTGAAATGTTTTTTTTTTTTCGCTGCTATGAAGCTGCTATTTATGTAGCTGCGTAGGAGGATGGAGGATGTATCTTTATAAATATGTAGAATGCATATTCAAGGTTTTCAATGGTTTCAATAACTTTTAGAACTGTGCTCGCAGCTTGCGGTGCAATCAAAACCACCAGTTTATTTTACACAGATTACTCAATCGCAGTTTACTTTTTAATTCAAGTACAGTATCATTCAGTTGTATTTTATTGCTATGGTAAATACATACACGCAGTAAGGCGGCTTTATTGTGTAGTCTAAGTGTTTTCAGTTGTGGGATTCGATAGCGAAAACACTTCCTTTGGAAAAAGAACAATATTTGCATTAGATTGTCTTGCTTTTTGCATGTCGATTTGATGAGCGTCGGTGTTTTTTCCTTATTATTTAATATGCAACCATCTATCATTCTCTATTTCCCCGCATTATGTTTTGCGTATCTRTTTGTTTAATTGTCATTTTTCTTTTTGATATATGCCGATAAATCCATTGGCATCGTATTGGTTCGCGAGCCGAAAACTGCACTACCTTCAAGAAAGTCAGATTTTACTTTGTTTAATCATTTTTTTAACAACAAAACACTTTCAAAGTCATGTTTCGTGTTCCCGCCACAAAGTGCTATTGTTGAAATGTGTTGCTCGAGATAACTTCTCTCATYTCAATATGAAATCTAAACGAGGGAGTTATTGACACTCGAGAAATTTGAAAATTAATAACCGGCAATGCCTAAGGATCGCAGTACTTCTAATGTTATCCGCTTATTTGATTAGCTTTTTTCATAAAAGGCTTTTATTAAATACAGTTTATAGTGGTCGCTAAAACCATGGGTTGATGCTCATTAACCCGTGAAATACGTTTAAAGCGTTCAAGGTCATATTACTCATGTATTATTACATATTACATTATTTTGCATTTTTTGCTCTGTCTTATCGGCGCATACTATATTGAACAAATTCATGATAGGTTCTCGTCGTATATCGTCTTGTTTACCACGGTTGGCATCACCAAATCGTCGAAATTGTTGTTAAAGGACGAGACGAAGTCGAAAGAAAGAAAACTGACGAACGTRCCATGTACTTTTATTTAGCACTGCTCTCKACAAATCAAAATTCKAGAAAATGTATTATTATGGTTAAACYTATTTCGATTAGTACACTTTATGGGTTTATGAAAACTACTCTAGTTTTCGTTTGTGTCATCRTCATCATCATAACTCTTCGCGCCAGTATAGGCGCAWAAGGCCTTCACCCCCTCTTTCCATCCATCTCTATCCCTTGCTGCCATGTGTCAATCCTGACTATTAGATTTTGTTTCACGGATGTAATGTTTCCTCTAATCTATAGATGCTTTTATTGTCCGAGATAAAGGCATTCAAAAATCAGAATTAGCGCAAAAAATCATAATCAGCAATAATTTACTAGAAATTACTGATAATCAAGATCTGTGTTTTTTTTTTTCTTTGGAGTTTTCATCAAGATAGTTGTAATGTCAGCACGTTTTGGTGTAATCCCGCCTTAGTGTCCACATCCATTGCGATGATACCATTGTTGTCATATCAAACTTTGCTTGAGCGGATGTAATAGTTTGGTGTTTTTAACACGCCGCTTGAGGCTAGAGGAAGAGAACAACTTTTAATATCCTTGTTAACGGGTAATGATATAGCTTGTTTACAAGCCATTCAGACCAATGTAGATTCTGAGCCTCAACATGGTTTTCTCTGTCAAAATGCGTTGTCTTCCCATAATAAATCGATGCCTATAAGGGAGGGGGGTAGTCATTGGCAATAAGTAGTATTTGGAGTCAACCATGTATGAGTGTTAATCAAGCTTTAATCAACCCGTCCCTGGTCTCATTAAGAGCTATAATAATMAAATAACACTTACATGCGTTGAATTTCACGTGTGTCAGATTCAATGAAAATTACTCCATTCTAATCCAATCTGACTATTATATTCGGTATAGGAAGCGTTCAGTAATTAATATTCTTGTTCATTAGATGTGAGATTCACCATGAGAAGCTTAGTGTGTACTGCAGTACGTGCAAAAAGTGTATTTGTCACCAGTGTGCATTATGGGGAGGAACAGTAAGTATCGCATATAGTCGGTAACAATTCATTTGTACTCGAAAGCTTATATTTATATATTACGYATTACAATTTACAAATTATGTTTAGTGAAGCTTTTGAAATGAGATAATTGTCATTGTCAGTCCGTTTTGTTTGATTGTTATTGTTGTTTTAGCATTCTGGACACAACTTCAAACCGTTAGACGAGGTCTACGACCAGCACGTGTCCTCCATTACTGATGAGGTAAGAGACATCCGGCTGTAAGGTCACGTGATCCATCAACGTTATTGATGATCTATTTATTGACGTAATAATTTTTCCCGCCCTTTCTCAATCAGGTTGCAGCGTTGCGAAGGCGTTTAATGGAACTCATAAGTCTAGTACAGGAAGTTGTAAGTGGCCATTTTTTGAGAAATTTAATTTAGCTACCTGTTTTTCCTTGTTACTGACTGCCTTCACCCAACAGGAACGAAACGTAGAGAGTCTGAGAGAAGCTAAAGAAGAGGTAATGTTTATGAATATTTATCCCTCCAAAATACCTATTTTACATGTGTCSAATGCTGTAGATCTTTGATTTCTGYACTATCTTAGTTTCTAATGGGTATCAGTAGTTACTCGCATTACTAGAACTACTACAAGAACGAAAACAYAATGAAGTTTACTTTTTATCGCGACTGTTACAGCGAGAGAATCGGTAAAGAGCAACACAACAAC